TGACTTCATAGAACAGAACAGAAGGAATGAGGACTTGTACAGAGGAACAGAACAGAGGGAATGAGGACTTGTACAGAGGAACCGAACAGAGGGAATGAGGACTTGTACAGAGGAACAGAACAGAGGGAATGAGGACTCCTCAAAAAGAGACATCAGGAGTTTGTTCAGGTGCCGAAGGTTTCACCAAAGCCCGCCCCCCCCCCCCCCAAAAAAAAAAACCACAAACTAAAAAATATAAAAAATAACATTGTATACATTTTTTTAAAAAAAAGAACCATAGTAAGGCCTTGCTCATGCAGGGTATACTACAGCATACATGAATTAAAATCTGTGCAATGCTAATACAGTGCATCAAAAATTCCTTTGTAAACATGATGCATACAGCAAATCAAAATGTATACAAAAAGTGCATGAATAATCGAACGCTTAAAAATAATATACAAAGAGCGTGATGAAATACCACTAAAGTGAACATGAAGTATCTGTGCAAATAAATGAGACAGTTCAAATAATTTCCAAACAGCAAATCAGAAGTCTCCTCTGATAGTGCTCCACAGTGCAGCAAACCAAGCGTGACATATCCTCAGTGCAAATCTTCCATCAATATGCACTCACCAGTAGTTATATGATTTTTAGCTTATTAAAACATTTCAGCCAACACACACCAATAGCTGATTGATACAGTAGTTGTTCTGAGGTTCATGTCTTGTTTACATCAGGTTCAGGACAGGATTATCCTGTCCACACATATGCCGTTTAGAAGAGGTTCCCATAGAAGTCAATAACCTGTAATCTGCACCTGAACCGCACTGCTCAGAAATCGTACATGACTCTTTTTCAAACCACATTTGAATACACACCGCCAGTGCACCGCACATATGTGAACAGGCACCATAGGAAGCAATGTTTTTTCATATGTCATGCGGATTGGTAGCTGTTGAAACCACATCCAATCCACATATATGTGAACCAGCATTGAGGACACCTATCTAGAAAACTTATAAATGTCAGCATAAGTTTGAAATTTGTTTAATTTGGTCTGGCATGTATATTTAAACTTTTATTCAACAATGCTGTTTCCTCCGCAGTCAGAGTGGTGTTGCTAGGTTGAAAATACCATAACCTGTTATACCCATCTTCTTTTGGGCTCTATGGACCCTCTTCCCACCTCTTGTGCCTCTACATAGATGCTTCTTTTTCTGTATGGACCTGTATTAGTGTATCACTAATAATACACTAAATCATTATTAGCACACATAAACTCAGCATACTTACAGAATTCCTGCTAAATTCCTACTAATACCTCGTTCACATAATATAAGTACTAAAGCATACGCCTATGCGAGGCTGTGTTTACCTACACAGGAATGAACAGGTGTTTCCGTGCCTCCACCGTGCAGACAATGATATCAGTTGAGACTCAGTGGTTGCACAGACACAGCCACAGCCACTGCTCCCATTAGGATATCTATGTGGTTGCAAGTGCATGTTCTTGAACCAGGGGCGGACTGACCATTTGGAAACTCGGGCACTGCCCGAGGGCCCGGGGTCAGTAGGGGGGCCCCATGAGATGCCCCTGGTACCTTTTTCATAGGCTTTTTTGAGTTTGGGCAAGGACACAGGGGCCCCATGATCCCCTATTGCCCGGGGGCCCCATGAGTTGTCAGTCCGCCCCGGTCTTGAACTCACACTGCCTGCATTCAGGGCCATGCACCCACACTCAGACAGATGTCAGATTGGGTGCAGCAGCCATGTCTGTGCAGCCACTGTATCCCAATTGACATGAATGGGGCTGCCTGCACAGGGAGGCATAAACCACATGTGCATTCCTGTGCAGTCAAACATGGCCTCGCATAGGTGTATGCTTTAGTATGTATATTATGTGAATGAGGTATTAGAAGGAATTTAACAGGAATTTTGTATGTTGTGTTTATGCATTCTAATAATGATTTAGTGTATTATTAGTGAAAATATTAATTTGATAAACATTTGGGCAACTATTGCAGGACCTAAAAAAATCTGTATTCCTTTTGTTCTACAAGTCATGTGCTTTCGAAATTGTATGGTTTTGGGAGGAGGTGGGTCTTTTACAAACTCTGAAAGCTGTAATTGAAAAATTATAACCTTCAAATTTTTAGACTAAATTGCTGATTTACAGTTTTGTGTACCTTCAATTTTAACGGATTCACAAAACTGTGAAATTAAAAATGTATAAATATTTGTTATTTATTAACTCAATACAGTTTAACTTTTATATTTAGTAATAATGTAGGTGGGGTTTTGAAAGTTTAGCAGGGTTTGCGCAAATATCACGGGGCCTAAAAATCCTGACTCCTTCACTCTATATATGTTGTCTGTTAAATAGTCCTGACCAAAGTGTTCAGCATCTTACCAGTTTCTGGTTTTAATGAAGTTCTTCTTTAAAGGATAGGTTCACCCGTAGACAAACAATAATAAATGCACATTTTTTTGCAAGTAAAAAAAGTGCATTTATTATTTTTTGTTGCAGGTGCCTGTAAAGCATTGCAGCTGCTGTATCAGAACATGCATGCACTGGTGCCATGCAAGTCTCCTGTAGACTCGTCAGTTAATCTGCTTGCCCATACATCCCATACCAGCTAGTAGATACACTGACAGGAAGAATCAATGAACTACCGCAGCACTCCACAGCACTATGGTAGTTAATTGAGAACTGCAATCCGACGTTCTCAAAGGATGTCGGTACTTGTAGTTCTTTCATTCACAGAACTCTGTGAATGAGTGACACGGCAGTGTGTTTTTAAAAAGTGACAGCTAGTACGGGGCTCTTCCTCCCATACTGCTTACACACCGGGGGGGGGGGGGGGGGGGGGGGGGGGGGGGGGGGGGGGGGGGAATCAGGTAGGGACTGCAGCATTAGAAGCTTGTTACATGTTCCACCCTAAAAAAAAGAGTGGAAAATGTAACATGTTCCCAAAGGTGAACTTATCCTTTAAGGTAGGTTCAGTCAGGCAAAATTATTTCTTGTGTGCCGAAAAGCATATGCAAACGAAGGTTTTGTTTTTGGTTTTTTTTAAATTAGGAATATTTTGTGGGTACAAGACCTGTGGCATATGTGTATATATGCAGGGACTAGACTCTGTTTAATCACTTCCCTTTAAGCCACTTCCACTGTTAGATGCAACCTGATCTTGACCACCAGTTACCATGGGGCGCCTCGCGCACTGTTGGATTTACTTTCCACTCAGTCCTAGGGTTCCTCAAGTCTTTCATAATACTAGTCGTGCTCACGTTTTTTGTTACACTGTTTTGACTTTTTCATTGTAAAGACAAGCATATTACTTGTTATGGCATTTTAAATTTTTACATATTGTTTAGATTTTTTTAAATATTAATTCTCAGTTGTCAGTAAAAATGCACTCTGTCAGTAATTATCCATGTTTAGTCAGTGAGAAAAAGTTGTGGGGTGTTTGCAACCCTTTCAGGAAGGTGCAGAGCGGGATCCAAATGACCACACAAGGCAATTAGCCCCACACCCTTCAGGCATCTTTACAATGCCAAGTAACCAGCAGGCACTATCTAAAGTCACCAAAAACTACAGAAAAACACACCCAAGTTTTGCAGCAGCGCAGGGGGATGGTATGATCGGGGGGCTCTGAGGATGAAGATGACTGTGTTTCTGGGGGCTTTGTGATTATGGGACTCTGATGTAATGAGAGGACGGAGGGATTCTGATGTGACAAGGAGGCTCTGATATGATGGAGGGGACCCTGATATGATGGGGGACTCTGATGTATAGGGGTGGCTCTTTGTTGTAATGGGGGGGATCTTTGGTCTGATGTTCACGGGGCTTCTGAAGGTGGTATTGTGCCTTGTTCCCGGCTCAGTTACCTAAGTAACATTTAGGTTTTTTTAGACTGGGGTGCCTCAACATTTTGCATTATTTTAATGGGTGCCATGACTGAAAAAAGGTTGAGAAACACAGAGTTAGGGTGCTAAGCTGTGGCTGTCTACAGGTCAACCCTTAAAAAGCCAACCCTGATTGAAAATAACAGAGTCAATATGACAGCTAGAGGTCAAAAATGGTTCTGGAGGTCAAAATTGGCAGCTTCCATATTTTGCTCAGGTTTCCTATAACATAATAAAAGCTTATATGAGAGTTTAGTGTAAGGGTTAGGTCTACTTCATAAATTCATTCTTTCAAATGTTAGTTATCAGCGATGTAGATGTAATGTAGATGTAAAACCCTAAGTGGATGATATTTAAAGTGGAACTTCACTCTCTCAATCAACATGGACTATCTGTAATCTTTATGCTGCCAGCATTTGTAAATAGATAGGAAAGTAGATCATATTTACTTGTTTTAAACTATTTTTTTAGATTTCTTCAGTTACTTTCTGGTGTCCATGCCTAGGCAAATGATGTCATACATTCCAGCAGTCTTCAGGAGGGGAGAGCTCTCAACTTAGCCTATGCCTGAGCTAAGGACAGTAGGAGCCCAGGAAGTAAATGCTACATGAATCATCTGCCCTTACTCAAGATAGCCACTGCCAGAAATGCCGGGATTGGGGAATTCAAAATGATTTCTCAGCAAAATAAAACATGGAGTCATGGATGGATGGGCGAGTTTGCTTTAAATATTAAAAATGAATTAAACAGCAGTTTTGGCTTGTGGTGCCCAGACGCAGTGCAGTTCCACTTTAACCACTTTCCCACCGCCCTATAGTAGAAATACTGCTACAGGGCTGCACAAAATCACGTATATATACGTGACTTTGCATTTCTGGGTAGTGGGCAGCATGCTCCCTACCCGCATCGCCATTGGCGGCCTCGTCTGTCGATCACAAGGTCCCGGCCGGTGATTCCATACCGACACCCGGTGAACGCCATGTATCACAGACGGGGAAGAGACCTGTATATAAACAATACAGAGCTCTCCCCTGTCAGCTCCTGCAAAATGCTTTGTATGGCTTTGCACAGTAAAACACACACACACAGAGCACACAGTTATCCCTTTGATCGCCCCAGATGTTAACCCCTTCCTGCCCAGTGCCATTAGTACAGTGTCAGTGCTTTTTATGAGCACTGATCACTGTTATTAGTGTCACTGGGGATGTCAGTGAGAGTCAGTTCTCCCCAGTGTCAGAATGCCCACCGCAGTCCCGCTATAAGTCGCTGATCACGCCTTTACTAGTATAAAAAAAAATGTAGCAGAATACATTTTGGCCTAAATTTATGCTGAAATTTGATTTTTAAACTTTTTTTACTGGACATGTTTAATAGCAAAAAGTCAAAAATATTGTTTTTTCTCAAAACTGGAGCACAAAAAATAAAAAATGCAGAGGCGATCAAATAGCACCAAAAGAAAGCTCTATTTGTGAGGAAAAAAGGACATAAATTTCATTTATGTACAGTGTTGCATGACCATGATCATGCAATTGTCATTTGAAGTAATGCAGCTTCATATCGCCAAACAATGGCCAGGTCAGGAAGGGGGGGTAAATCCTATGTAAGTCAAGAGGTTAATATCTATTATACAACATATTATAAACAACTGGTCATTTTTTAAAAATATTTTTCATTCTTTAATATAAATTTGCAAGGGTGATATACTAATGTCAGTGCACACCTAACCCACTGGGTCTTAAAACCTGACTTTTACTAAAAATATTTTTTAAAAATTATCTAAAACATCCTTGTATGGCTTCAACAATTGAAGCCACATGAGGGTTTTTGTTTTAGATAATTTTAGTGTTATATTTGTAATAAAAGTGAAGTTTTAAGACCTAGTGGGTTAGGTGTGCACTGACAGAAGGGCATCACCTTTGCAAATTTGTATTTTTGGTAATTTCTGCAGTAGGCCCAATCTATGGAATTCTGAAAAATCCGACTGGATAATCATTATTTTTTCATCCTTTGCTGCATCCCAGTGCTTCTCATTATCTACAGCCTATTTACAGGGACTTTATGTCATGCACTCCAGCGATGACTGCACATCATTACTCTTGGGTGAGTTTGATGATAGTGACAAGAGTGTACAATGGCTGTTGCAATGTGCATTAGTACAGCCACTTGTAGCCTCCCAAATGAAAGAAGATATATATTGAAATATATTTTAAAAAATATTCTTCCCAAATATATTGACATTTATTTGAAATGCTACATTTTTGGCCATATTCAATATATATATATATATATATATATATATATATATATATATACACACACACACACACATATATATATACATATACTGCATGTTGAAATGCGTTTTTAATACAAAATGTATATTTTCAAAAATACATTTCAGATATACTGTATGTCTTTAAAAATACAAATCTACATTTTTGGAATGCATTTACAAATATATGAAGAAATATATGTTATTATATACTGCATGTTGAAATGCATTTTTTATATATTACAAAATACATGAAAAATATTTTTTAAAATATATTTTTTTAAATATTATTTAGAAATTTTTTATCATATAAAAAAGCCATTTTAACATATATTTTTACATATATTTGTAAATGCATTCCAAAAATGTAGATTTGTATTTTTAAAGACATACAGTATATTTAAAAAATGTATTTTTTAAAAAAAATTTCATATATTTTGTAACAAAAACGCATTTCAACATGCAGTAATATATATATATATATATATATATATATTTATATATATATATTGTTTTTTTGTTTTTTTGTTTTTTAAATATATTAAATATGACCAAAATTGTAGCTTTTCAGATGTTATTATATTTGGGATGAATATTTTAAATATATTTTTCTTCCATATGGCCTGCATCGGGAGAACATGTTATAGGGTGACTATGTAATTGTTAGTGGAACTGTTACAAGGGGAACAGTTGGGAGCCGGGAACAAAGAGTTACCACCACATAACAGGAACTGCCTCAGTAAGAAGCTTCATGGCAGGATATCCGGATATTTTTTTATTGAAAGCAGCAGACCTGAAAATATTGAAACTAACTTTTGAGTTACTTTACCTTGTTAAAGCTTACTGTATATGACAGTTTATTGATCACGTTTACATCTGCTTAAAGCACAATGTTCCATACTGTTCCTGTCAAGCTGATATAACAGAAAGTAGTAACAACCGTGTAACATGAAAGTAGAACATGATACATCCCATTAAAAGTTCTGTCGCCACTTTTCACATTGCAAACAGGTGCATGCGGTGACAGATTGTAATGTGTAACTCAATACAGTGAGAACAACAGAGCCGGCATTAAAAGCTCAACTTCGATACCACTGACATTGAATTATTTCCATCTTACATTTCTTTTATGCAAAATGACTAAGTTTGCCTGTCAAAAATGAAAATTCAAATCAATTTATTAGGATTAGAATGAAGATAATCACATCATCTTCAGTATGCTCCCCCAGTTGGAATGTGGAAGTCAAGATCGTTATGCTGTTTGCTGTTTTGTTGCAGTGCTTTGGGCACAGATATAAGAACACTGCTACAATTTATAGCTCTAGAATATATTTATGACTGCTGATTTTGGCTTTGAAGAAATCTCTTACAACAGAGCTTAGTGAGTTTGATAACGTAAATCATTTAGGCATGTGAATACACCTTGTGGTCTGAATGGTAATATATTTTGTTCAGTAACTTATTTAACATTAGAGTGTCATGGCTTAGATACCATGGAAACACTAGTCTGTTGTTCATCTCTGACATCAGGATATATTGTTCCTGATTCACACAGTACATCACTTTAAAGCATATCTAAACCCGAAGCCAAAAAATCTAATATGTTGCAGCTTACCATTTCTTAGATGTGTTGGCTGCATTACTTTTCTTTTTGTTTTCCCCGTGCTGACAGGCCCATTGATATCAATTGGGACTCAGTGGCTGCACGGACACATTCACTGCTCCCATTAGGACATCTATGTGGGTGCAAGTGCATGTTCTTGAACGCACACTACCTATGTTCAGGGCCATGCACCCACATCCAGACGGATGTCAGATTGGGAGCAGCAGCCATGTCTGTGCAGCCACAGTATCCCAACTGCCATGAATGGGGTTGCCTGAACAGGGAGGCACAGAACACATGTGCATTCCTGTGTGGTCAAACACGGCCTCGCATAGGAGTATGCTTTAGTATGTATATTATGTGAATGAGATATTAGTAGGAATTTAGCAGGAATTTTGTTTGTTGTGTTTGTGTTCTAATAATGATTTAGTTTATTATTAGTGAAAATATTAATTTGATAAACATTTGGGCAACAATTGCAGGACCTAAAAAATCAGTATTTCTTTTGTTCTACAAGTCATGTACTTTCAGAAACTTGTATGGTTTTGGGAGGAGGTGGGTCTTTTACAAACTCTGAAAGCTGTAAATGAAAAATTATAACCTTCAAAGTGTTCATCTCTGACATCAGGATATATTGTTACTGATTCACAGTACATCACTTTAAAGCATATCTAAACCCGAGGCCAAAAAATGTAATATGTTGCAGCTTACCATTGCTTAGATGTGTTGGCTGCATTAGTTTTCTTTTTGTTTTCCTTTGACTGTGCTTGGTGATCCTGTCAGTAAGGCTGTGTTCACATATAGGCGCTTTGAATCATGGGTGGAATCACCGCGATCCTTCATGTGATTTCTAAATTGCTAAAATTTCAATTTGCACATCAGCATGTTCAGGTGCCATTCATTTCAATGGCACCTAGAAATGTGCTGGTCACCCAAAAGAAGTTCTGGAACTTCTTTTGGGCAACACGCGTCACGTGATTTGGTCTGCATGATTGCAGTTCGATTTGTTGCACTACAATCATGGCAGAATCGCCCCCTGTTTTTAAGTGCCATTGAAATGAATGGCACCTGAATATGCTGATGTGTGATTTAACATTTTAACAGCGTGTTTTGCAGGCAGAAACGTGACAATTCCGCCCGCAATTCAAAATGCCTATATGTGAATGGAGCCTCACACCTGTTCTAGGGTGACAATGCTCACTCACTGTACTGAATCTAAGAAGAAGCATTGTTGTCATCCTAGGAGGTTTTTGGAACTACAGAACTCCCCTGCTCTCCTCATCTCCATAACATAAAGGAGAGATGTTCTGTAGTCCACTGAGAGAACTGACAACAGTGCTGTCAGCAGAGGCAAAGAGCACAGAAGTTTATCAGCTCACATGGTTTCTGGCAGAATTAAGAGGTATATGTTTGTACCTATGGAACAGATAGATCAAAACAATTATAATGTGTAATGACCATAAGAGAGCATAAAAGAAGTTTGCTAGGGTTTAAATAATCTTTAGGCTCCATGCACACTGGAGGTTTTGATAACGCTGGTAAAGTTAGCTGTGTAAAGTCACATTAAAAACGTGCGTTTTTCAGCTTTTTTTTAGCGTTTTTGCATTAGCGTTTAGCCGCATTTCATGACGTTTTCCCACGTTTTTCCACGTTTGCATTTTGTAGTGTTTTTTTAGTAAAAAAAATTTGGGGGGGGGGGTCAAAAAAGCATCCAAAAAACGCTAGTTTGCGACATTTTACCACGTTTTGCTGTGTTTTTTTTTTCGGCATTAGAGCATTTTAACAGCAAAAAAACTTCTCTAGAAACCCACTAGTCCTGAGTTTTTTTTCCCAGCCAAAAAACTTCCCTGCCAAGAAACGTTGATTGTAGTCTTTGTGTGCATGGACACATAGGATAACATGCTGGGGGGTTTACTGGCTGTAGAAAAAAACATCAAAAAAACATCAAAAGCCAAAAACAGCAGCTGCAAAAATGTCCAGTGTGCATGAGGACTGAAAGGCAATTAGCGCTTAACGTTAGTAGGCTGAAATCGCTGACCTAGTTCTGAAAATGCCAATTAGCTGTCTATCTCTTCCATTAGTGTCCTTTACTGTTTTATGAGTAATTGACCGGCAACAAGCATGCAGTAATTGAAGTCAGAGTAAAATTAGAACTCCTAATCTCCATCCGCGTTCCAGATCAATGGTCCGAAATACTGTGGCTATTGGATGTCGATAACAGAGCCAACTAGCATTTTCATAGGGAAAGGTCTGCTATGGTCACTTAAGAATTTGCCTTAGA